GCAGTAGTTACCCAATCAGTGTTTTGAAACGGCTCTGAAAGGCCGCTCTTCTAGCTTTCGCTGGGGCTGTGCTGCGCCTGCCGCGCAGACCTGGCGTTTTCGATCAGGGGCGTGAATTGCGTAGGGGGTCGCCTTGACCTCCCCCATGGTTGAGGCGTCGTCATCACCTGAATGCCTCCCTAACACACAAAAGTTATGATGATCTATGGCATAGTGTATACGCAGCACGCATGTGTGTGTGTGTGTGTGTGTGCGTGCGTGTGTGCGTGTGTGCGTGTGCGTGCGTGCGTGCGTGCGTGTGTGTGTGTGTGTGTGTGTGCGTGCGTGCGTGCGTGTGTGTGTGTGTGTGTGTGTGTGTGTGTGTGTGTGTGTGTGTGTGTGTGTGTGTGCGCATAACAAGAAGAAAATTTCTTGGGTATGCATTGATAATAGTGCTGGCCCTTGCCCGAGCTGTAGCAGAACAGACGGTTTGGCTAGTTGGCTATCTATGAACACATATTGATACGTGTATGGAATAAGCGACGAAATTAACGAGCACGAAAAAGTGAGAGCCTGTGCGCGATGGTTACACATGACGAGGAGCGTTATTTCCAGCCAAACGTACTGACGAGGACACAGGATGAAATACGTCACAGCCACGGCGTCTTCTTTCTCGCGTGTCGTTTTTCTTCCTGCGTGCTCGTCAGCTCGTCTGACTGAATAGAAACCCTCCGTTGTTGGCCACACAGCGGAAAGTAGAGGAGTGCGTGTCGAAACATGGAAGAACACAAAGCAGCATACGATTTCTCCACACGCGTGGCCATCGCATCCTAACCTGACTTACCAATTCAACCAGGGGCGGATCTAGCCACTAATTTGGGGGGGGGGGGGGGAGGGGCACTTGAAGTAACACCGGAGAGAGGGGCATGGTCACTGCTTCTTTTTGTTTTTACGAGCACAAACATTCTATCAATTCAGAAATGCTGTAAAATCTGGTCAAAGCGGTCCCACTCATTTGTCCTGATTGGTGAGAAACGGTGGACGGCAAGCACTAAAGAGAGAAAGAGGGGGGCCGACAGGCGTTGGGGGAACCTCACCAAACCTAACAAACAGTGAACCAAGGAAGTGTGAGGTGCAGTGAAGCAGACTTACAGGCCGGCGCCCACGGACGCGGCGAACATTCCACGCACTCTTTACACTCTTTATTTCTTATTGATTAAAAGAGAAAATTACTTCCCTTGAACTTTCACGAAAAAAATCTTCTTTGCATACCCTTGCAAACGACTGTGGGCAAAGAGTTTTTCTTGAACGACATCGCCAATCAACACGTGCCTGAATATTCGTCTATCCTTGTGCCTCTTCCTCTCCTGAAGTACCTGGTCATCGACCTCCATGAATATCTAGAAGCGAAGCTACTTAAGCCGGCACCATGCCGTCGCCGTCAGAGCTCCCTGCGCTGGGCAAGCGCGCGGAGCAAAACAGGGGCGCGCTCCCGGCAGGTGGTTCGCGCTGCGCCGCGCACGCCGCACACTGGCCACCGAGTGCAGCAGACGCTCTACCCACGCTCTCCCTACCCTACCACCTTCATTAAAGCCAGCAGCGAGATCAGGTGCATAGTCATTAGCGTCTTATACCAAAAATAGCTTCGCTCATCGGTTGCACTCCTACGCAGAATGGCTGCTAGTTTTTGACAAGCTTGCTGGCAACTGTGCTTCCATGTGATGCAGTTGTGTTGCGTTTGTCAACATGAGCGCTAAATCCCCGTTTTATTTCACCATGAAACATACCGCGAGACAAAGTAGCGAACGACGATGGGAGGTCATCAGAAAGCGCTTATTCTTTTTCCAGTAACCAGCAGGAATTTAAGGCGTGCCGTGTTGTATTGTATTTTTGGACAAGATGTCAGCAAATGTCGCCAATAAGACGAAAGCTTTTTCCACATCTCGTATGCGGGTCGCTTAAGAAGGGGCTTTCACGTCAGGTTTTGAAGGGCATATATCGGTACAAAACTCTAGAACGAGTGAGATCTGGACACTGGTTCTGACATAGGAACTTTGTTACGTGGTCACGCTGAAGATAAGGGGGTAGTACCAGTACTGTGGTGAAGTGGCCAACACTTTATGGTCTGGGCCTGCCAAGTGAACCAAAATCTGATCCCCAACGCCACCAAGAAACACTGGGAGGCGACCCTGGTAAATGTTTCCGTACTAGAGGAACAACGAACTATCGTCTAGCGGGCTGGTATGGCGGCTTCGACTAATGACGTCCCGCATAACGATGTCGATCAGCGCGGCAGAGATAAGGGCTATTTTACATTGCCAGTTTAAATAATAGTTTTACCTCCTCTTTCTTGCCAAATGATGACAGGCATAGGGTCATTGGATGCACGGAAGGATAGATAAACTTTTTGGGGTACTTCGGTACCTCGGTACGCACTCTAGCATGTTGCGGGCCGCTCCCACGTCACAACTGATAGACCAAGCCTCCCTGCTGTGTCAAGGACCCGTTGGACTACCCATAGCTCTTTTTCGATTCCAGAACCAGTAACAGCAGCCTCAAATTTGTAGCGGCGTGATTACTTCACCGCTGCGTAACGTGGGGCCCATGCATGGCAGGGCATGTTTTGTAGATTGGGCCACGAGAAAAAATGTGGGGCTCTTAAGTTTTGCCTTTAAAAGTTGAACGCGACAGCGATGTGATATCCTGTCACAATAGTGTACACTTGAACAACCTGGTGCATACTTTTTATTGCATGGTGTTACTAGAGTATACTAATTACTACAATGCAATCGATAAAGTTGAAAGTGGCTTGTGTCAGTGAAGCCGTTTTGCATATGATTGCATTCTGTGTAATGGGTAGTATTCTTTGAGCGACAAGCAATCAGGCGTTTGAAATCTTTTCAAGCTTGCTATGCACACACTACGTGGTCTTAAGGGAATACGCGCAGTAACATGCGTGCCTTTTGTAACAGGTAAGCGGATTTAAACCACGAAGTCGAGTCGTTGTGATAATCACCTGTTTGGACGCCTGATGGATAGGTACCTTTTATCGTGCAATATTATTACTGTGGAATTTCGCATTGTATTGCGAAGCCTGTACACCCAATGCGTGTGTTTGTAAAACACGAATAGTATTTTCACTGCATTTCCAAGCAGAGGAAGTTCTTTTCGTATACTCTCTCCAAGCATACGCATGGCTGTGCTTGCCAAACGGCCAGGTTCAATCCTCACTCAGGCCCGGCAATTTCAAAGACGATAGTCTTTCTTGGGGACTTTCGACGCAAAAATTTTAGTCCGTCCGTCCGTCCGTCCGTCCGTCCGTCCGTCCGTCCGACCGTCCGTCCGTCCGTCCGTCAGTCAGTCAGTCAGTCAGTCAGTCAGTCAGTCAGTCAGTCAGTCAGTCAGTCAGTCAGTCAGTCAGTCCGTCAGTCAGTCAGTCACAGTCAGTCACAGTCAGTCAGTCAGTCAGTCAGTCAGTCAGTCAGTCAGTCAGTCAGTCAGTCAGTCAGTCAGTCAGTCTGTCTGTCTGTCTGTCTGTCTGTCTGTCTGTCTGCCTGCCTGCCTGCCTGCCTGCCTGTCTGTCTGTCTGTCTGTCTGTCTGTCTGTCTGTCTGTCTGTCTGTCTGTCTGTCTGTCTGTCTGTACAATTGTCTGTTTGTCCTTTCTTAACGGCACCGTGTACTTGAAAATGTCAGACCCCATCCGCAGCGCCCACCAATGTTGCTCAAGGTTTAGCGTTCATACTTGTGAAATTGTCAATTAAAAAGCAATTATTGTGCATATTTGAGGCACCGTAACAACACGTATATTAACGTTTATTTTATTTGCATCTTCCTCGATTTTTTAGTTGCAACCAACGACACCGACGCGAAAGTTCCTGCAAAACGAGCGCTTTTACGCTGTCGCATTGAACAATGCTTGACAACAGTCACGTCTGGGAAGTTCATGGAATAAAGAAAATGAAATGCGAGACAAAAACATTGCCTTGCGGGCCCAGCCACGTGTTTGAGACCTATTTGGTTTATTACACTGAAATAACAATGCGTGGTGTGTCAAGAAGATTCAAGATTTAGGCCTGGTTTGCGTCCTGGAGTTTGTTACAGGGAATATTGGAGTTTATACCTTTGGACGCGTGCTCATTTGTGTAACACTTACGCACACCGAGGGAGTAAATGTTTCAGAAAGGAGGCAAGGGCAGGTTAGGTCGACTTACCATGTCATTTCAAGTAAAAAAAAAAACTGCTCGCCTTAGCTCAACCCGAACGTCACACGAAAGCTCCCTTCTGATGCACAAAGCCACTGATTTTTACGAAGGATGAGAGGTAGAAGTAGTTACACGACGAACAAAATGGCTTATTATACGCAGTTAAGTGAAATTTTATAACATGTATGCAGACAAGGTTATAGAGCACACACATTTATATCATCATAGGACTTGTCTATCTACGCGATCACGGGGAACATCTGTGACGTACATATATCTCGCGTCCATCTTCAATGAGACTCCATTCTATACAGGTGTCGACAATTTGCTGCCGCCTATAGCCCCATACGTGCAGGAATTTAAACAGTCCCTTGGACCGACTTCCTCACCGCGCACAGATCTTCGAAAGAGAGTAGCAATAAGTCAGCATCATAGGTTTATTTATTATATTATACCCTATTTATTATATTGTACCCTAATCTGCAAAGAAAGCTTCGATAACAACATGCTTACATCAATGCAACGTTACAGTTGATCCGAACTGATCCCCATTGCATACCTGACGCACCAAACACCTTGCCCTTTGTGAAGAACATAGATGTGAAGTTCACGTTAGCACAGCTGATTACATGCACAGCTGATAAAAATGACACTTTGCACGCGCATTGCCCAATATGAGTCGCTGTTTCATAATGCTCATTTGCAGGTCTAACGTTGAGTGAACATGAAACTCGAGGAATACAACACCGATCGTAAGTGTTTTATCGTTTCAGCATAGAACAGGCTAACGTCGCGCGACGTCCTTCATTGAGTACACACTAGCTGGTGGCCAGTTCTTCTTCGGCCGACGTCGCGGTGCGATGCTCACAGTGCTCGGCTACGATCTCGTCCACGATCTCCTTCACGTCCGGGTGACGCTCCAGCACCTCGTTGAAGGCGGCCCGGGTGAGCGAGAAGAAGTGGCAGTAGCGATCGGCGATCACCGTGCGCAGCCGCAGCATTTCGCGCAGGAGGCACACCTCTGCGTTGGTTTGAGTTGGAATAGACAAAAGAAAATGACGAGCTTTGGGCTAGCCGGAGCGTCTTGACATCGCCTCAAGCGCCTCAGTTTGCCGACGGCGCCTACCCGCATTTACAAAAATGAAGTAGGTCTAGGGTGTTTCAAAGCATGTGTTCAGTATTGTTTAAAAATCAACAAAAAACACCATTTGCTCGCCGTCTTCGCAGTTGCTTTTCCTGTAGCGGCAAGCATCTCAAAAAGGGTGAAGACACCATTTGTAACAGTAGTTAAAAAGTTAAACAATTAATGTTTTACTTATCAGAGTTCGGCACGTCAAACGGGAGAATTGATGTCTTTGATGCAGAAAATCCATTGCCGCTTTGAGATTGCAGAAAAGCGGCCTCTAGTAACGACCACGAATTCTCCTGAATTCTGCGGCGAAACCGAAACCAACCGACCGAAGAGCGCAACAAGCAGACGCCTACAGTGACTAACTGTTAAAAACAGTGGTTACAGGGGTGCAGTTTTTCCCCATTGGACAACGTGTGTGCGCCGTATACGCGCTCTAATTGAGAGCGCAGCCCACACACTATATACACAGCGAAGTCGGTTGATAGTTGACATAACAACGCTCCCTCATTTCAGTTGCGTTCTCTCGCGTTTCGGTTTCCCCGCAGACTTGGGGAGAATTTTGTTGATTCGCAGTTATTACTAGAAGCCGCTTTTCCAAAATCTCAAAGCAACAATTAGTTCTTCGCATAAAAAACTTCGATTCCCCCATTTGACTCCATCGTCAAACTCCACGTTATTTTAACTTTCCTAATTACCGTTCTAAAGAATATCTTCAACCCTTAAGATGCCTGCCACTATAGAAATAGCAACTGTGAAGAGAACAAGCAAATAGCGCCCTTTCCCAATTTTTTAAGACTATCAGATACATTTCTTGAAACACCCTGTGTAGAGTATATCATATACAAGCCACTTATGTTGCGCTTCAATGCCTTGTTTTGCCCCTCACGGCAGCTTAGTGGTTAGGGTGTTCGACTGCCGATCAGAAGGTCGCGGGATGGAATCCCAGCCACGGCGGCCACGTTTTCTATATGGAGGCGATACTTTTTCAGGCCCGTGGACTTTCATTTATACATACATGTCAAAGAGGCCCTGCAACACCTTGCGAGCATGAACAGAAAACACGGTCCATCGCTAGTCGACCGGGCACCTGTGAGCACGCGAGCCAGGCATAATAGGACAGCGCGTGCCTTGAAATTTGCAAATGATTCTCAAAACCAGCTAGAAACAATTACCTCGTCCCTCGACAAATGATGCGACGAACCCAAATGACCATGCCAAAAACCCAAAGTCCCCGGCCATCAGCTGATTTGAGGCCCCGCCGCGGTGGTCTAGTGGCTAAGGTACTCGGCTGCTGACTCGCAGGTCGCGGGTTCGAATCCCGGCTGCGGCGGCTGCATTTCCAATGGAAGCGGAAACGTTGTATGCCCGTGTGCTCAGATTTGTGTGCACGTTAAAGAACCCCAGGTGGTCTAAATTTCCGGAGCCCTCCACTACGGCGTCTCTCATAATCATATAGTGGTTTTGGGACGTTAAACCCCACATATCGATCAGCTGATTTGAGCATTGTGAGCTAGATAACTACCACAGCCACCGGCAGGATGGCGAGGCTTGCCGGCGCCGTTGCTCGAAATCCCACTGAAGGTAAGTTGCGTGTTCGAAAAAAAAATGTATAAAAGTGGTCGTGGTCACGAAGCGCGCGTCACATAACTTCTTCACCCTGGTCCATCCCTCCTTTCTTAGCTTACAGCACACTCGGCGGGTCGAGAGAAGTCAGAGATCGCTTATACCACGCTGAAAATTTCTGCAAGTTCGCTCGTACTTGACGGATGCTAAAAAGTTGCAATGGTGTTGCACGACGCCTTGAAAGAACGACAAGTCGTCGAAATTTTCGGAGCCCTCCACTAAGGCATTTGAGATAATGCTATCGCAGATCGTAGACGTTAGACCAAAACAACTATTATAACGTCTTCTTTGTTAATTTTTTCCGCCACCTATGTAACTTTTTTGTGCGATAAAGTTTCAGTTGAAAGTAAGTGCTAGACTGCGTCATACTTGTCTGACTTTGTCCTCACGTGAAGAAGGCACAAGTTTCTTTTCGACTGCGCAGAACCAATTAAACATAGCTAAACATTACAAGGTGACATTTTATGTGTGTTTTATTGAAGTGCAAAAAAACATTCACATATAAAAAACTGATACTCTTTGTTATTAACTTGTGCAGGTGGTGCTCAGGTATTTGAATTCCGCATCATGCATGATAGAAGGTACACTGATACTTTTTTTTCCTTCGAATGTAGAACGCTTCGATGATCTCTCTTGCCATCTGTTGATTATGGCGTGACATTATCTTAGCGGTGACGAACAATTGAGTGCAACCGCATTGTTCACAATGGGCGGCGAGCGAAAATGGTTTGGTCTGATAGTGATCGTTTATGCTCCCTAAGACAAATATTGACGCATCTTCCGCTTTGTGCAATGTATGTTTTTTCGCATGATAATAACATTTGATATATGATGACCTTTTTGCAATAAGTATACTTAACAGCGTGTTTCATGCCGACATTTCTTAGAACACTCCCTTTTACTCTAATCTGTGTGTCCATGCTTTTCTGCAATTTTGCGCACATGAATTCCAGCTAATATGGAATGGAAAAAACTACGTCAAAACCGTCACGTTGAGCCACGTTTTTCAAAGCGTGAGCCACATGATCAGTATCGGAATGACCGTGTACTTTTTGGCTCTCGTAGCCCGTTCTTTGTTACCACCTGTGAACGCCTGTGAATGATTTGGCTTCGAACGTTCGCGAATCCATCACAGGCTTGCGCAATGGTGAGTTCCGGAAAACCTGCTTGTTTGAGTCTGGCCACCTGTTCGCTGACGCTAATCTGTAGCCCGTCCTGACAGGATTTCTGCATGGCTGAGCGGACACATTGACACGGCTATGCCCTGTTCGATTATATTTTTTTTAATAATTTGATGCGAAATCTAGTATTATAGCTTTAGGTGAACGAAGATGATTGCGTCAACACACATGTGTAGGCATTGATTGATACGTGGGGTTTAACATCCCAAAACCACGATATGATTATGAGAGACGCCGTAGTGGAGGGCTCCCAAAATTTTGACCACCTTGGGTTCTTTAACGTGCACCCAAATCTGAGCACACGGGCATTTTCGTCTCCATTGGAAATGCAGCCGCCACAGCTGGTATTCGATCGCGCGACCTGCGGGTCAGCAGCCGAGTACCTTGGCTATTAGACCACCGCGGCAGGGTTAGGCATAATATCTAAGCGCAAGTCTAAGAACTGGAGCACCCCTTCTGTCACCAACTCAACCGTGAAATTTATACCGCTGCCATTCTGCCAGAACACTTTCGAGATATTCACGGAGTGTCGATAAGAATCTCGGACGTCAAAAGGCACCAAGTAGTCATCGACATAGCGAAAGACATGCTTGACCGACCCATGCAAGCTTTGCACCAAATTCCTGTCTGGCAGTCTCAGTTTTCTGGCAGAAAACTGAGAAATGTTTCACACAAGGCCGGTGCTACCGTATAGAACCAATGCAGATTCCTTTTTTTTTTTTCTGTATGTACAGCCCTTCATTATGTTAAACATAAGTGGACCTTGACACAGAAAAGTCGCTTCGTCAAAACATCGGCTCGCGCGCCCAACCTCGTAGATTTTTTTAATCTATATAAGTAAGGTCACTTGGCCTGACGATCTCTTTCAAACTAGGCCCAGCGTTTGAAACCTACCACCGAACCGGTCCCCGGGCAAGACCGTGGCCACAGTGATGCCCATCGCGTCGACGACGCGCGCACTGCCCGATTGTAGCAGGTAGAGGCGGTCGCCCATGGTTCCCGCCGCAGCCACCACGTCGTCCGGGGTGAAGAACTCGAGCTTCATGCTGGTCACCAGGTCGCGCAGGAACTCCGGCTCGGCCCGCGCGAAGAACGGCACGTTGCGCAGCACCCGTCGGCAGTTGTGCCACATCACGCGCTGCATGCGTGTAGAATAAGTGCGACAGAGTGTCGGTGTCAAAGAGAGACTGAAAAGACGCTGGTTGTAGGCGGGCTTGTTGGTACATATCTGAGCGTGAAAGTAGTGCGTCGATGCAATACAAAGAAAACATATAAGCTTAGACCGAATTTATGATCTCTTGACAAGCAATAAAACAGAACACGCATATGACGTCAAAAAAAAAAAAAAGGCGGTATACCTTCTGCTTCCCCTCGAAAAAGATCCCTGGTTACGAACCCGCCTGTGATTATCCTCTGTTGCCCTTTTAAATGCGAAGCATTTTTTAGCGAACTTCGGCGACTATGAGCGTATCTCTCTATCTATCTAGCCGCCTACGACTTTTAGCTCTCCTGACCGTTTCGATAACGGTATGGGTACCAAACTTGGCATAACATAACATGACTGTATGAGAAACATATCTGACTGGTCATCACATGAAAATCATGACATGTATGTCATGAATGTCATGATTTACATTTCATGGTCCTACAGCTCTTGCGGTGGTTTTGTTCACATGGCATGGTGCAAAACTGGTATGGTATGACATGATTGCATGGCGAACACAAGCGACAGACCCTAACATGAAAATCATGACATACGTGTCATGTAACAGCATGACTACATGCCACGCTCATGATGCACTGGCGGCCGTTTCGTTAGCCTCACTTATACCAAATTTGGTATTACGCGACGCGAATGGACGACATAAATAAGTAACATCCAAGCATGATAATCACGACATGCATGTCATGTAACAATATTACTACATGCCACACTCATGAGGCGCTCGCGGGCCGTTTCGCTAGCTTCACATATGCCGAATTGGGTGTTACGTGACGTCAATGAATGACGAAGGTATGCGACTAGTGCAAACATGATAATCATGAGATGCGTGTAATGTGAGAACCTGACTACATGCTACAGTCAGGGTGCCAATACATTTCCATGTGAGGTGGTGCGCGTGCTCGCTGGTGTTCGTTTCGTCGCGTCACGCCGGCGTTGCGACGCCAGGCGCCGGTTTCGCCATATACTCGCAGGCCTGCGCCGCATGGCGTTTCTTTGACGCATGCGCATTTCAGCGCGTCCGGCGTCCCTTCGTGACGAAAAGAGGGAGACGCAGTGTTGTCTGGGTAACGCATCGGCGCGAATTTCGCCCCGGTTGCAGTCGGGCTGCGCCGACGGACGCTTGTAGCGCCGGTCGCACCTGGCATCAGACTATAGAGTGCTCGCGTTTTAAGTGCGAATGCATTTTATAAGCGACCCTGAATCCGCCGTCCGCGGTGCGCCTCTTCCTCTCCCCTAGCAACGGCGCGAGGAGCGGAGAGGAGCGTCTGTAGCAATGGCGCAGCGACGTCACACACCACGTGATTGCGCGCGCTCCACCCTCCGCTTTATGGCTGCGTGCGCCGCCACGACTTGCTCGAGATCGGCAAGTCGTCATAGGTATGTATCCATCGCAGGCATCAACCTCGACTGCGAAACCTCCAACAACAAGTACAACGCAATCGAATGCGAGCATTGCACGCGTCGTTGAAGATGTCGCGCCGGTTGAAGACAAGGCAGCGGCGAATGGTCCGTGATGCCGAGTGCATGCGAACGAAGCGGGCCGCGGACATAAACATCATTATAGTGCGAATTTACTCTCGCATATACGGTTCAGTGGGCACGGGAGCAGCACCTTCGGCGCCTCGCTCACCCGTGTTTTTTCCGAAATGCAGGCCCTGCTTGCTATTTTCGTGACATGGCTACCCCTTTCGTCCTGCTGTTCGGCATGCTGCCTCGAGCCATCGCCGATAGCAGTGTGCCCGAGCAGCTACTGCGCATGGTTGGAATTCAAGCCGGCGTCACCAAATCTTGACAAGACATTCTTCGCGGAACCCTCTGCCTGCCCGCAACTCAACGACCGATACCCCATCCCATCAGCAACATCACCAAGCTGCCCGTATTTAAACGAACGCCGCCCAATTTCATTATATGCCAGAAAGTCAGATGACCGTTTTTTGGTGCTCTTCCCGTGCCCACGGGTGTTTTGCGAGTCATTGTCCGAATGTTATGCTATGGCGTTAACACTCTTACTCTCGGGTGATGTGGAAACTAATCCTGGACCCACCACCCGCAGTGCTCGCTCGGAAACCCCTTTGGAAGTTGAATCGTTACCGGAAAACCCGGCTGAACAGATGAGCGTTATCTTCCAACTTTTGAGAGATGTCCGTGCACAATCCTTGCATAGTTAAAAGGTTCAAGAGGAACTAGTGGAAGGTATAAATTCAATTAGAGCAAGCCAGACAAGTATAGAAACAAAAATGAATTCTATCGAACATAGGCTTGACGAATTTGAAAGTCAACTAAAAAAAGTTGATAGGCTCAGTGAGGGTTTATCGGAAGCCCAAAAGTCTATTGAACAATTAACTTCCCGGAATAACCTTCTACAGTCCCGCCTTGACGAAATCGAAGATCGGTCCCGTCGGAACAATCTAATTTTTCATGGCATCACTGATTCCAAAGAGCTCATTTACAGTAGGCCACCAAAAGTACATTGTTGGTGTATGTTATCGCCCTCCTTCCTTATCACCGACTTTCATTAATGAATTACACGATGTTCTTAACACCATTCATACCCGTTTCCCTTCGTGTCCTTTGTTTCTTTTTGGCGATTTTAATATCCCAAACATAAAGTGGCATGCCGCCCCACCCTTTTTGTCACCATCTTCAAGCGAAGCTAGCGAATTCCTGCAACTATTATCGAATTTTTCGCTTACACAATTAGTTACACTACCCACGCGGGTAACATCTCACGCCGCCAACACCCTTGATTTAATTTTAACAAATACACCTGACCTTGCGTCCGACATTACCTGCTTACCGGATATAAGTGACCATTCATTACTCACATTCTGTATCAATGCGCCATCCGACACATGTAGCAAGAAAAGAAAAATAATACGGAAGTACAGAAAAGCAAATTTTGAGGCCATAATGATGAACTTGCGGTATTCCTTGATATTTTTTTGAAGGATTATGATGAGCGAACTGTTCAAACTAACTGGGATATGTTTTCTTCCGAAGTTCGCCGACTAACCAATAAGTACATCCCCACGAAATTCATTACGACTCATGCACAATGCCCATGGTACACAACCCAAGCATCAAACGCCTATCAAACAAAAAGAAACGTCTATATCGTGCTGCTAAGCTTTCTCAGACTAATGCAAAATGGGCTGCCTACAAAGAAGCTTTTGATAGCTATGTGACAGCTCTAAAAAACGCTAAAGAAAATTTCATGTCGAATGTATTACCTTCCATGCTGAAATCAAATGTGAAACAATTTTGGCGCACTATTAACCCGACGTCTAATGATTCCATCTCTCTCCTAGATACGTATGGTGATTATATTTCTGAAAGTGAATGTGCTCGTGTCCTTAATGAAACACTTGTAAACAATTTTTCGCATAAATCCAACAGCTCTTTGCCACACCTACCTTACTGCAATTACGTCCAAATGCCACCAGTGAACATGGACGCTCCTGGTATTGCCGCCCTTATAAGCAATTTGAAGTTTCATTCTTCCTGGTTATGACAGCGTTGACGCTAAATTTTTGAAAAATACATCTGCAACTAGCTCAATCATCTTGGCAAAAATTTTTCAGCAATCACTCGATCAATCAACGCTACCTCTTCAATGGAAAATCGGGAAGGTGGTTCCTATCTATATATCCAGAAATAAATGTTCTCCTACTAACTATCGCCCCATTTCCCTTACTAGCACCTGCTGCAAGCTTCTAGAACATGTATTATTCACAAATCTTGTAAATTTCCTCCAATCAAACTCCTTTTTCACTCCTGCGCAACACGGGTTTCGTAAAACATACTCCTGTGAAACACAGCTCATAACCTTCACTGAAAAACTGCACACTATCCTGGACAGTTCGTCTCAAGCAGACTGCATTTATTTAGATTTTTCTAAAGCATTCAATAAGGTCTGTCATCAACTTCTACTTCACAAACTAAGTAACCTCAACCTTGATAGAAACGTGCTACAATGGATTGAATCATTCCTTACCCGCCACACCCAATTTGTTCATGCTAATGGCTTTAACTCTTCTTTCAGCGAAGTGCGCTCTGGGGTCCCACAAGGATCCGTCCTAGGGCCCCTTCTATTTCTTATCTATATTAATGACCTCCCTTCAAAATTGTGCTCTAATATTCATGTGTTTGCAGACGACTGTGTGATATTTCGTACGATTAATAATAGTGACGACATTAGAATCCTTCAGTCTGATCTAACCGCTGTTTTTAATTGGTGCCAAACTTGGCTGATGGAATTAAACATTAACAAATGTAAGGTTATGCATGTATCCCGCAACCCCAAGCATCGGTCAACTTATTACCTAAACAACATAGCTTTAGAACTAGTTACATCATATAAGTACCTTGGAGTGCACATTACAACTAACCTCAGCTGGTCAACACATATTGAACATATCATCAACAACGCTAATAGCATGTTAGGGTACTTACGCCGCAATTTTTCTAGAGCCCCATCGTCACTAAAATTATCGCTTTACAAATCCTTAATACGCCCCAAGTTAGAGTACGCAGCATCAGTATGGGATCCAAGCCAAGAAAATCTAATGGCTTCTCTCGAGCTTGTTCAAAATAATTCCGCTCGCTTTATCCTGTCAAACTATAACCGTACTGCAAGCATATCTTCAATGAAAAGCAGCCTTTCCCTTCCCTCTTTATCATCACGCAGGAAACGTTTTCGGTTAACCATGCTGCATAAAATATATTATCATTCCTTCCTGCGCAACGAACTCTTACCCCAACCACTATACATTTCCCATCGCATTGACCACCGTCACAAGGTTGGCATTAACTATTATCATACAAAATCTGCCACTCAGTCATTCTTGCCCCGTTCGTCCCGGGAATGGAACCACCTTCCCGCTGAAATTGCGGGTATCACCGATAACCAACTGTTCCGGGCTGCCTTAACCAATATTGTATATGCAGAAATATCTGATGTTTAATCTGTGTTTGTGTGACCACATTGTTGCAATAATACTAATTTGTTTTGTCTTTCCTTTTCCTTTTTATGTACACAACGTTTTTGTAACCATGCTACCTCATGTTATGCCTTTGTTCTGTACAACTCCCCTCTGTAATGCCTCTGGCCCTGAGGGTATAATAAATAAATAAATAAACTCACCAAGATTTCCCGAGAGGGTCTAATGGTTCCTGGGAAACGCAATGTGATGACACGGAGGAGTTTACGTTATCTCACTGGAGAATGCCAACGGATTTTAACTTTGCTCCCCCTCATAGCATCACCCCGTGCATTTGCACTTAATCATGTTCACCCTCGGGGAAAAGCTTGGGAGTATTTGCTAACGTAGCGTCGCTGTGCCCACCGCGCGCGCGCGTCAACGCTACACTGGAGTATATTCGGCCCTTCATGATGCGCTCGCGGCCGTTTTGACAGCTCCACATATACCAAATTTGATGTTACGTGACGTCAATGAATGACAAAATATATGACTGGTGCAAACATGATAATCCTGACACGTGTGTCATGTAAGAGCATGACAACATACCATGCTCATAGTGTGCTCGCGGCCGTTTCGCTAGCTCCACATATACTAAACTTGGTATTACGTGACGTGAATAGATGACGAAGGTACACGACACATCTACACATGATAATCATGACACGGAAGTCATGTACGGCATCAATTACCTCCACCTCGTAACGTTGTGCTGATTTTAAAGCGGCATATCAACCTTTCCTATTCGTGCTTCGCATATCATTGATTCCCACTGTACGTGGGATCTGCCATTTGTTTTTTTCACGGAAAGTCATCGGTTTTCTTCGGTTGCTCATGATGAGTGTGCTAAAGACAAAAGTGGGGCCGTGTCGCTTTGCTGTTTCTGTCAAGTCACACATATGTGTTCATATATTTATTGTTTGTCAAGTGTTCATAAATCCAGTAGTCAGTCAGCGCTTCGTATGTGGGCTTCCTTCCGCTCTTTTCGGTGTTCTCATTTTCACGCACAAATAAGTCGACCTGGATTGTTGAAATAGCATCCCAGAAACATCGTAGTGTTCTAATTGTGCACAGAAAACGCCTGTAGTTCAAAAGAAAACGATGTTTTGAAGGTTCGCACATTATTGAGGCAATTCAAACCGTCCCTCCCTGGGAACAGACTTCTTACGCAGCCATGTCGGCCCTTCACTGCCCCACAACCGGCGCAGAGGACCGAGGGGCTTTAGAGGAGCAGCATATTTCTGCAGCCCGTAACGAAGCTCCACTCAGCATTGTTAAAATGAGGCTGAAGTGGAGTGAAAAAAAAAAGGAAACGAGAGGTCCCCTTTTCGATAAATGAGTATCTCACACCAGCGAGCGCAAAGCCGGAGTAAGCAAACAATAAAAAAAAAACGTCATAGTGCGAAAGCGCTCTCTCTCACTTTGCTGTTCGAGTATCCCTTTGATTAACAGATAGCGCTTCTCTCATCGGGTAAGCTTCGTGCGTCGATTCCGCAAAGAAGAGCGCAGATATTACCAGAAAAATGCAGTTCGTTAACGTTTTTTCATTCGCGCGCGCGATATCGGCTCAAGCCGCTCGCAACGAAGCGCCGCTGTGTGAATTCGACCCCCTATTCATGCACAATACAGCAGCGAGGTCGCCGCCACATGTAACCGAATTTCGGGGCTAATATAAAAGCCGGTGGGCGCCCGGCCACACTGGGAATCTAACCTCAGCTCCTACATTGTAGGCGGCGCTCTGTCTGTGCATGAAGTTCCCCTTCGGGAGGAGGAAGAGTGGGGAGGGAGGATGGCGGAAGTTCTATCAAGTCAACGTATGGTGTAGACTTTGCTGCACTGCGTGTGGTCGGAGACGCGCTACCCCCAGACCACTCGTTGCGTGACGTGTGCCTTGCAGCCTTGCCGCTGGGGCAGAAGTGCCCCACTACTACCGAGACGCTCCACAGGACTCTCGCCTACTACTGGCTGCTGTTGTTAATGCGGCAGTTGCCCTTTCGTCCCTGTTTTGCGACCTTCTGACTGCTCCTATCCCTATACATGCTACTTTCCTAGTCTTTATTTCCCTTTCCTGCATCCCCTTTGTCACAGAACGAGCGCTAAAAATGGGCGCGCCGCCAAATTGTCGCGACGAAACGCCGGAGTGGCGCCGCGAGGTCAAAAGAAAAAGAAAACAAACATCTAAAGGCTCCCCGGGGCGCGCGCTCTCCCCTCGGAAGCGTGGCTTCGCCGACGAACCTCCTCGCCCCACATCGGCGGCCGAGATAGCCCGCGAAAGTTCCAGAACGAAAGGGGCGTGGTCATACCGAGTTGAGTCATCGGCCGCGGAGGGCATTCCAACCGTCTCGCCCTCTTCCCAGCCTTCGCTGCGTATCGCGCCGACGAAATGACGCGAACCGTCTGGAATGTCGCGCGCAAGGTATTTAACCGAGCAGCCGAGATGACAGATCAGGAGGAGACGGAAGTCAGCGCCAGAGCGCGTTGGGTATCCCGCCGTGTAGTCGGCGAAGGTTTTGTCCGTAGGGACGAAGCAGGAGATGAAGAGGATTTCCACCTGAGGGGTGAAGGCTCGAGCTACAGGCAAGAGTGTGTGTTTACCGCTATCGAGCGAGGACGCGTGGCGACAGCTGCGTGTGTGAAGCCGACGTGTTCGGGCGAAGAAGTTGAAGCTTGAAGAGTGGCCAATTGAAGACGCGAGGTTTCCTGGAAGAGAAACTTCAGCGAGCAGCGGAACGACAACAACGCTGGACTTTGAGTGAGTGATTCTCGGAAGAGTATTATTCAGACTTTTGTTCCAAGGACTTTGGACTGAATAGGTTTTCTATCTCTTTAGTCTTTAAGTGTCTTGGTTGTTCAATGCATGCGACTGCATTGTATGTAGTGCGTATTGTTGTCTGTGTCCGTTGTTTCAAGTGTGGTTGATTTGATTGTACTGTGTAGTACGTTGTTTGTTTGGTGACGTATTGTATGTAACTATTGTGGAGTGTGCATTCTTGTGTATTGTTTTCGATCTGCCATTTTTGAGAATATAATATTTGTTTTGTTTATCAACTCTCGGCTCTGACTTGTTCTTTGGGCCACAGCCGGCGTCCGCTGGCGCGCCAAAAACGACCACTTCCAAATTGTCCACGCTTTCGTGGTGCGGTTCGGGGGGCCGATACTTCGGCTCTTGGAATTAGCCCGGCGATTGCCTCCCTAATTAACGGGACGGGTGTGACACCCTTACAAAACGCTGCACCATGCGCCCTTAAGGGCTGCAGAAATAAGCGTCTTTTTTTTTCCTTTTCCACCTAATTACTACCACCACCACCACCACCACCCTCTTGCGCAAGTTTATACACTCGAGCCCCGCAGTTTTGGTAGTGTGGATACTCATCTCGATAAAGGAATCGTAAAACATAACAGCGCGAAAAAAACGACGGACTAACATACAGAAACAAACCAGCGATGTGCGTTAGTCCGTCATTTTTTGCGCTATTACTTTTTTTGATCATGAATAACCAACTAGCCTAGGTCAACGCCATCAAGGTGGTGGTTTCTGCTTCCCTCTCTCGTCCATCTCGTTCACTCCCCTTCCACGTCAGCGCTGTGCTACGTTACCTCCAGAAGAAATGACCGTCTTTCCCAACTTGAGACCGTCATATTCCACGCACCTCCCGTAGGGGATCCGACAGCGACTTGATGATCTGGTTTTCGTCGAAGACGAGCCCCTTGAAGCGGTTCTCGGCGTAGTCCCGTATACGGCGCCGCAGATTTATCGGCAGCATCTTGTACTGCATATAGTCATCCAGGTCGCGTATCTTGAAGAAGAAAACAGGAAAAAACAAGTCACTAATACAGAACAAGCCAGTTAAGCAGGTGTAAATATTAGTGTAATTCGGTCTTTGTATCCAATCGCAGGCCCAGAAACGCATCCAAGTTTCAGGGTACAATGTACAAAGTCGTTTTCAAAAGATTCCGCAGATCGTAGGCACCTTGGCTGCAGCGAACAGATAACTTGCGTCACAAAGGCGTGCAGAACGTTGTTACACTCCTACAACATTACACAACAAACAGCAATGCCATCTGACATCAAATAATAACACATGTATGCAAAAGTTGACTGCAATCTGTGATTCAAGGTAACTTTTGAGTACTCAAAGTTTAGTTGCATTAACGTTCATTACTCAAAAAAATACTGGGGCAAGGTTGCAGAAATTCAGTTTATTAGTGTTTTAGTTAATGGATAAAAAGTGATGGTGTCATACATGAGAGAACTTAAATCATATCTGCTGAGATGTTATTGCTACCACGAGATTACAGAAAAGCAGCTACAGGTAATTTTGGCAGCGCAATGAAACTAAATTTCCAAGCTCTCTTAATATGTCTCCCACAACAGAGCAATTAATTGTAAATGCTGCGAGCAAATTTTCTATTCCGTTATTCGTAAATATTTTCACACATTTCTTGAAAGTTGGAATGCCCTGTAGCGTTGGTCAGCAACTTTTTCAGACGGAGGGTCACTGTGCGTGAAGCCGGCACAGTGACGGCCATATGGCAAAGTAGTGCGAGGGGAGGCGGGGAAGAGACGGGGGACGTTGGCCAATTTACTGTACAAATAAGAAATTTAAATCATGGCTATTTTGAGCACGCATGTTACAAGGTTGCAGCTATAGTTTACAAGTGAAAATACCAGCAGAGATAAATAATGCCAAGTAGGCCTTCACATAAGAAGTGGCAAGGAGAAGGTGGGTATCTGGCGTCGTATACTATATCGGTTGCATACAGCCCTGTGGGCCGCCAGTTGCTAACGCCTGCCCTACGGAATATAAACAGCAACGCGAGTAAGTTTATAGCCGCACCCTTTGCCTGTTCCTGAGGTAGGTGAAGTTCATGGACATGATCATGTCGATGCAGGCGCCGACCAGCAGCGCTTGCAGGGCGTGACCCGTGGCCATGCAGCCGCAGCGGAGCCACGAGTCGGTCATGCTGTCCGCCTCGGTGGCGCCCATGCCGACGCCCAGCATCATGGACGTCGAGCCGTACACCGACCACGAGTACTGCACGGGCCACGACGCATTCTGCGAACGAGTCGGGAAGGCTCTCGTTCGTACGGCGTTCATATCACATGCGGCACAAAAATTATTGCATGTAAGGAAAGACTTCGATACGGTTCAATGCGCTCGTTCGTGCTCTGCAAGCAGGGGGAACAGCTACCTAAAACAAATAAAGAAAAGGGAACACCAACTTCTCATACGTCCGGGCATTTTCAGATCTGGGACTGCTCCGCAGGGGGATTTAGCTGGGCTAGCTGGTACTGACTGAATGCTTCTATCGTATTAGCAAACACAGAACTGCAAAGAACTAATTATGAAAATCACTAGACCTACCACTGATAGATGTCGATCAAAAACTAGTTGAAATCCAGCGGTTCTTTTGTGACATTCTGTCTAGCCTTCGTGCGTGTTCGCTAGTATTATGGAAGGTGTTCCACAACTTCGTGCTGAAGGGTGATTTATTTCAAAATGACAATTTCAAGGGGCCTCGCAGCACTTTTCCAAGGGTTTATCGAGTGGCTTACTTTGCGAATCGACTGCCGCAAATTTCTTTGTAATCCGTCAAGCTATAGAGCGGTGGTTTGTCGCACGATTCAAGTCCTTTCTCACTCCGTTCGTACCAGCGAGCGCGCTGAAAGCTACGTAGTTGGGCAAGAGGAGGGAGAGAGAGTCACAACAGGGCAAGGAGATACTAATAATAATTTCAGAGGTTTAACATCCCGAAACTATGATTTTGTTGTGAGGGACGGACGTCGAACCCCACGTGGCTGAATTTCGACCACGTCGGGTTCATTACCGTTCACCTAAATCAAAGTTCACGGGCCTCAAGCATATCCGCTTCTGTCCAAAATGCGGTCGCCGCTGCCGGTATTCGATCCCACGACCTGTGGGTGATATATATATATATATATATATATATATATATATATATATATATATATATATATATATATGTGTGTGTGTGTGTGTGTGTGTGTGTGTGTGTGTGCGTGTGTGTGTGTGTGTGTGTGTGTGTGTTGAGAGAGAGAGAGAGAGAGAAAGAGGACGCTACGAACTGGCGCATCGAATCGCGTACGTGTGCCTTATACTTTCAATCAAGATCGCGAGCACACGCGACAACAGATGCTCAAGTCGATTAATGGCTACGGACTTCGGGCATCCTTATAGGCGACTTAATTGCTCAAGTGACTTCCTCAGACGAATCGCTTAGTTGATTCACTTGAATTTAGAAAAAACAGTAAGCGCTCATCTACCCACCTAACACGAAGGGGAGCTTTATTTGGGCATGAGCACTTAAGCGCGAATCTTGGCAACGCATCAATAGGAAACCAACAAATATATGTGCGCTATTTAGCGTGACCTGGTGCTGAATTCACAAAATGCCAAACAACCTCCGATGTTCCAAATTAACAGGAGCCCTCCAATACGACGCCCCTGATAGCCCGACTCGATTTGGAACGTTAAACCCCATGAATCAAGCAGCCTATCGTCACTTTGATGACCCAGTCGCCTAACTATACCCTGATGACACCCGACTAATTTAAATAGACAGCCATCATTGGTTAACTGTCCACATGAAGTAGGTAGTAATTTTCAATCATTGCGCTCCTTCCTATGGTATTTGTTAATTGACCTTTTTAAGTTAACAGCCTGTAGTAACTGACGTTCTGTGTTTCGATTTTTGATCAGAATCGCACATGCGCGAGATAAATTGCTTCTTTTCGTCTCGCGCGTGGCTGCACTCACCCATTATATAGGCGCTTGAATCAATCTTCTATCAATCGATGAATCATTTACCTATTTATTTTCATTTAGCACTTAAAGGAAGAGATAGTGCTCAAAGCTGCGGATACACACTGGTGAGAGTACTGTCCTCTAATGCCGTTGACCACCGAGCACTGCCGAACATTCTGAAAATGGCGCAGTTGAAAACAATGTAATACTTGGAAGGAGGTGTACTTTCAAGCGAGAAGAAAACCCCGTATGCATACATGCGCATATACAAGCATATTCGTAAGTCCGCACAAATACGAAGATGACCCCACTCTGTCGGAAAGCAGGGCGTTGAGGGCTGATGTAAAAATGCGCATGGTCTTATTTTCCTGCGATCACCATTGAAAAGCACTACTTCAGCAATATGTGTCTAGGGGCATATTACTGGTCCCAAGGTGCTTTTGAAATAACGCGAAAAGGTGGCCCAAAGCGTCTTTAGGATTATGTCGTTTGTGTGGATGTTCTTGCCCCGAAAATACACAGCATATTCATGAAGTGAATAATCACGAGGGATGACGTCCGTGTGTCATCCTGTGGATGTGATGACACACGGACAGAGGCACGGACGCACGCACGGACGGGCTGACGGACACATGGACGGACGCACGAACGGACGGAAGCATGGAGGGACAGAAGCACGAATGCACGGTTGCACGGACGAACGGACACACGGACGAAAGCACAGATGGACGGACGCATAAATGAAAGGAAGCACGGACAGACAAACAGACGGCCGGGCGCACGAACGGACGCACGGACGGACGGATATAACGGATGGAAGCACGGGCGGACGGACGCACAGAATCATAGATGAACGTACAGACGGACGGACAGAGACACAAACGAAAGCAGACGGACACACGGATGGAAGCACGGACGGACGGACGCATGAATGAAACGAAGCACGAGCGGACAGACAGACGGCCGGAAGCACGCATGGACGCACAGAGGCATAAGCGGACGCAAGGACAGACAGACAGACGAATGGAAACACGAAGAGACGGACGCACGGATGGTTGGACACACGGATGGACGGATGGATGCTTCGCCCCACTCATCATCATTAATTCTGAGGATATGCTGTGAAAACCACTAACGCCATGTAGTTATACTATTCCCAAGGACATATACACACAACGCCATCTATTGAGCAAGTCATAAACCAGAGGTGGCTACATACTACATACGGAGGAGGAAACGACCCACGGCCTAAGGAGGTTCAACCCTAAAACATCACATTTCAAATTATCGCAGGGAAGACGAGCACTCACCGCCAAACTGAGACGCGCCACCCAGGATTTGGTGGGAAACCCTTCCAGGCGGTCTACGTAGTACTGCAGGCAACCGTGCCAGTGGATGAGGAGGAACAGCATGCCCAAATTGAACAGCAGACGCACGTACGCTCCTTTGGAATACACGAACTGCGCCAACAGTTGGAAAAAAAATGTGATCCGTCTTGAGCACCACATGATTCAAGTAATCGTGAACGACGTCCCCATTTTACAGAAAAGAAAAGAAAATACGACAGAGAGATGTGAAGCCATTGGCCCCGCCCTCAGCGAGGACAGGTGGGCTGCGCTCTTACGCAGCCCCGAACTTAAGGATCAAACCCTGGCCGTCCAGAGTGCCCGTGAACGGGCCGCCAAGCTCGGCTTAACGGTCCCTACGTGGGATTAGCCGGGTGCCGCGGGGTCTCCCCTGCGTCTTCTCAGGACAAAAATAAAGTTTTAATCAATCAATCAATCAGATCCCACCTACCATAGGAATCAATAATATGCGAAGCATGCAACAAGCGTTGCCACATTATTGCTTATGCAACCTAATAAATAAGTTAGGCAGGTTAAGTATCCTGGCAGTGCTTGGCGAACTCTTGTTTGGACGTCATTCCTGACGCAAAGTTGGATGCGATGAAGAAAATGAAATAGAGAAATTTAAATCAAGCCAGGTTCCTGCTATGACCCAATCAGCAAGGCAATTGGTGCGAATAAAATGAGTGAGTGAGTGAGTGAGTGAGTGAGTGAGTGAGTGAGTGAGTGAGATTCAGCGAGCCCCGATGCTTACGAAGTTTTCCTCGACGCCGGCTATGTTCCTGATCACGGTGGTGAGCCGACCAATTTTCGGCAGTGCCAGCAGTTTGTTGACGCGCAGGATGCTGGGGTATGCCGACGTGGTGGATGGGTCAGCGGCCCCGTCGCCCGTGTGCAGCGCAACCATGGCAGTGTAGTCCAGCGGCAGGCAGCAGAACGAGTCCACGTAAAAACAGCCGCGCCGGTATTGTGCCGCCACGTAGTCCGGATCCATGTTGATGCGGCCGTGTTCTTCTTTCATGGCAATGCCTGTACCATAAAAAACAACTTTAAAACGTGCTGGAGTTTAACGTCCCAAAATCACGATATGATCACGAGAGACGTCGTATGGTGGAGGGCTGCGGAAATGTCGACCACCTAGGGCTCTTTAAGGCGCACATAAATCCAAGTGCCTCGATCATTTTCGCCTCCACCGAAAATGGGCCCGCCGCGGCCAGGACTCCAAACCGTCACCTGTGGGTCAGCATTGAAAAGCCATAACCGCCAGAACACCGCGACGGATGCACAGCAATGCCTGAAGGGAGATGCACTGACACAAGCAAATATTTCTCAGTCATCGCTAGGTACGTCTACAGTTGTCAAAGAAGCGTATTAGTGTGTATGCGGCAGTATCGCTACGTAGCATTATACGTAACAATATTATCGAAGATGGAGCGTTGCGATCGTATTTATCATATATCGAACGTGCAGTGTAGTGCCGATTCTACTGAAGTACGAAAGCTGAGCAAAGTTAGCAAAATTATGTCTCGTTAATCAACCCGTCGTTAAGTGTGATACAGTTTTGACGCCGATTTGCGATCTGCTGGCGTCAGTTTTAGTTACAGTATACAGTAACGAAGGGATGCACATGGTGGCTCCTCCAGCTTGAAACTACGCTAGCGACATGTTGAGCCGCCTTAATAGTGTGCTATTTTGTGTGCTATCAAGTATCCTCCTTTTATATGATGCCCAGGCGTTCGTTTCTTTGATCATCCCCCCCCCCCCCTTGTGCTAGAAAGATGTTATAGGATAAGGCGAACGCTTAATGGGACAGTGGCGCAACATCGCAGACGAGAAAAAGACGGGGTTGAAGTTAAGGCGATGGTGCCATGCTTGCGTGTGAAATGTAGTGTTCGTTTCTGTGTTCTGTTGGCGTCATACGATTTCACCGTTACATTTGGTGACATGCAGCGCGGTGAGACTCAGAAGTATGAAACGCCCAAAGGATGACTTGGGGCGCGACTCTCGTGAAGAGATTTTGGCAAGTTACGATCATAAGTGGACAGTTATTACAGAACAGATCTGTCGCCACTCGGCAAACTCATACCTACGTTCCACTATCACCGCTAGGTCTGTCGCCAAAGCGACACGTGCGCAGGGCGTCCCTGAGAGACGCACGGCACCAGCAGAAGACGCTGTATACTTCATTCGATGGAGAAGCGAGGCGTTGGTAAGGAAGAGCATGCCGTCTCCAAGAGACGCGGTGCGCCGTCTGAAGAAGCTGGGAATCGCTTTGATGGACAAGCCAGACGATGATGAGAAAGAGTGCAAGTTTTCCGTCGAGAGCTTCAACTTGGGCAACTGTGCCACGGACATTTGCGCTCAACGTCGAAAGAAACGAAAAACAATTAAACGCAAATACAAGTAAATACGAGAATAAATTAGGAGTGCACACTAAAAATCTGGACATTTGCTGCAGTTACGATGCAGCTAGCAAAACTTCGTAAGGACAGAAGTGCGACAAAACGTCTGTCCCACTAACAAGTTTTAAGGCGGGGCATGAACCGAAACGGAAACCTGCAAGATAACTGCAAAGGGAGGAGATTTTGTAAGCAGGGTCACCAAGTTCTTTCTCATCGGAAAGCTTTCAAAGAGTCATGCACCCAGCACCACCGATCTGCAAAGACAAGACAAGAGCGGACATACAACGGCTGTTTCGTCCTATGCAACCTCTGCAGTTAGACCTGAGCAGCACTATAATGGTCAACGACAGAAATCATCGACGGCCTCAGAAGACAACCTGATGTAGTTGCAGGTTCCGATCGGTACCACGTGGACGGCGCGTCGCTCCCACAGTCTTCGTTTTTCTTCGTTTTAAAATGCCTCGTCATCGAAATAAATTGTTTATGTTCACCGACGAGACAGCAGCTTTTGCAGCGGTTGGAACATTCATGCCTGCGATACAACACAATGAAGACCTGAGTTCCCTTCCAAACCCCCTGGTGAATAGCGCAACGTTATACTTCAGGAGGCCTCTCTGTCGTCACCTATGACAGACTCGACGCCATATGAGCGATCGCTGCGACAGAAATCAATTCTGCAGTGCTAAGGAAAAGACGCTGTCAAGAAACCATTGTTGTTGATCGGCGCGACACCTTAATGAAGCTGATGACAGCCAAGACAGCAGCATGTAGGTGGCCGGCACGCCTGAAACACTAGAAACGTCGAGTATTGTTTCGTCCTCTGCATGAGTGTGCTGATACCGGATACGGCATGAACAAGTTGAAAGAGAACACCGCCAGAGAAGCAAGCAACCAGATTCCCGACTCGACCTTCATTTCTGCTACGACACCTCCCCCCCCCCCCTCACCGGTAGAAAGATATGTGCTAGGAACGGCGATGCTGGGGCAATGGCTGCCGGATTAAAGAGGTGTTTTCATTGTATATCCATTGTGTGTTTTAAGCAACCGTTAAGTGTAATTAACCCACTGCAAGAAGACAACAGATGGAGTGCTTACACCTTGATGTTAGCAAGGGGTAATAGGTAGCAGTAGTTCACAACAAAATAGTTCTGTTAGGTAGACAAGTTGGTAAAAAAAATGTGTATGGCTCTCTGGCCTGAAATGGCGAGGCCCACACAACTGAGCTTGTTGGCTGATCTTTACGGTAAGAGCAGTGCGAAAAGATGACAACACGAGAAAAAGAATGGCACAGGACACTGGCGCAGATGTGCCACAGGATCAGCACCCGTTCTGTGTCGTTCTTTTTATTGTGTCACTGTCTCTTTGCGCTAGTTTTGCCACGAGGATCAGGCACGGCACGCACGATGATGTTGTCGATTTGGACTTTATATAGAACATCACGGCGGCGCCGACGGCGATGGCACAGTCGCGCCAAAAGGACCCATTTAAATGTGATCACGATGCACGTGAAGAAGCAGAATAGCGCGGTCAATAGCGCGGTCTTTTGCAGCGTCGGAAATAAATACACGTGTACCAAAAACACAGCTCCGCTCTACCGACCTGGCCATGCTGCACGAAACCCCCGAATGAATTGTCGAGCGTGAAGGTCGGGTGTTTGATCAGTGGGGCCGCGTTATATAGCCCACGTTCGTAGTCATCGTAATACCTGTTCTGAAGTTGAAGATGACGTCCACGAAGAAGAGCATGTCGGAGGCGATGTTGAAGATGCGCCATTCGAATCGCTCCTGCTGCGCCCTCTCAAAGTAGGCGATGTTCAGAGGCACGAGGATGACGCTGGCGAAGCTCATCACTACCATGCACAAGTCCCACGCGTTCCTGTAGCAGGACAACAATTAAAGACACGTAGATCACTAAAGTGCAGATTGATTCGTTTTCAAGGTTGCGATAGAAGAACCATGCGTTACAGCGCAAAATGCTCCCGTTCACTTCGTCTATCGTTCTCTAAGACCAAATCACAAACCATGTTTTTAACTTGTCCCAGAAAAAGAAGAACGTCTTTTCACGTTGTTGGGTTACAGAAGGGCGCATATTCGTAGAATACAAGGAAAACCTCTCATAATACTGGGTATAACTTGGAAAAATATGTATTTGATATACTTGGCAAAACGAGAAAAATATGGAAAGTCTGCGGATTTCTCGCCAATACTTTTCTTCCCTGCCACTACTGGTGTTCGACGTCGGTGGACAAAATCGAAGGCTGCACAGAGTCGGTGTTTGTACACATCGAAAAGGTCCTATAGCAAGCTCGTATTTATGAAGGTTGATGTATCGCCTCAAGAGTTTTGACTACCAGCCCGGCGAGATTCACTGTGTACAGGACACATGGCCGGACATTAAAAATTCAAAAATAAATTATTGGTTGCAGAACGCCATGTATATGCTACGATAAGGTGCCCACCTGAAGGTGGTCTTCGGGTGTATCATCCACGGGACGCTACGCTCCTGTCGAATGGGCATACCGTCCAGAATGCGTTGTTCTTCGTCGTCTAAAGGGTACAGAAGACCTTGCCGTATTTTCGGCGGAAGTAGGAACCCCTTGAGCTGCCGCTTGAACATCGTCACCAGTCTTCGCTCTACAGCTTCGTCCTATAGTGGAACGAATGAGTTTAATCTTTATTGCATGGGAAATAACAGTTTCCAGCCGCAGCTTAATGCAAGAACATAAAATTATTCTCTTGCACGAAAAAGGACGTGGTTTACTCACATTGCTAACGCCCTAAAAATACTGATAATTACCTTTTCGATAGGCGGCCTTGTTTTTTATCTAACGCTGTGGCAGTGCATTTAGAAAGGGCTACGGCACTTAAAAACGTATTAACGTAGATATTTATATGGACATCTTCATGCTTTGTAAGATTCCTTTTCAGTGAAAAAAGAAGGTGCCGCTTGCAGTAATGGCGCGAGGCTGTAATCATTAGACAAGCTGTTGTACGACCTCGCTTCAAGCTTTTGCTACTGATGCGAAGCTCTTGCTAGAGATCCAAAATTTTGCTACTAATGCTAAGCTCATACTAGGCATGCTAAGTTTTTTCTACTGCTGCGAAGCTCTTGCTAGGGATGTCAAGTTTTTGCTAGTAGTACCAAGCGCGGTTAGGCTTCGGTCGATTACGCACATATCACATTAGAGAGTTTTAGTTCCGAGGACCCCCAGACTCCCGCGTACGCTGTTACGCCTGGGAGTCCACACCGAACGTCAATGCCTCTGCAAAGGCAATCTGTGTCAAGGCCAGCGATCGAGCCCGCCTGAAGCGATCAACTCAACGACGTCATCAAGTGGCGGCGCTGGTCTGTCACGCAACGCACAGCGAGCTCCCTCACCCCACGAGCCTGATGAAGCAATCGGCGCCTTCCAGCCTGGCGAGTCTTACGCAATGCGTGGCAACATCCCTCATCCTTGGGTGCAACCACGCACAGCGGCGGGTCCCCGTAGGAGGATTCTGACATCACGGCCAGCGGCGCTTCTGGTTGGACGTTGGTGACGCAAAGATCCACCCGGTGTCTATAAAAAAAGCCAAGCGGCGCGTCGCCAGCAGTCGACCTATGTGCCAGATAAGCCTCTCAATGCTTCGAGCCCCTTCGCTGTCGGCGCGGCTGGTGTCCTTGTAAGCAGCGAGTTTCGTGGCGCCCTTCGCAACCTCGTCGGCGGTGCGTCTTCGTAACAGTGGATGGCAGCTGCGGGATCGGCCGGCGTCAGTGACATCGATGTCGTGAGTGCCTGATGTTTTCCCTTGAGATCACCAGACTACTCTAGCACATGTTTTAGTAGTTTATAGAAGGGCTGTGTGAAGCATTAGAGTGAGCTTTCATCGTTTCAAGCCAAGTCAAAGCGCTTTGAAACCAATGGTAATGCGGAGGGTGTAAACACGGCAGGGTTAAATATTGCTTGCGTGTCTTGCTAGTAGACTTATAGAGGGTACGGAAAGTAGATTCTTAACAGGGCAAACAGGAAGAGGCTAGTGTGAACGATGGAGAACCTTAAAAAGAAGAAACTCATCGAAATTTGCGAGGAAGTTGGCCTTACTTTGGTTTGGGCCGTGCGAAACCGTAAGCGATCCTTGAGATCATGAAGGATGAAGTAGTATCGGCTGAGGAAGCCGATGAGGCCTGGGCCGATATGAAAGCAAGCCGCGAGGAGGCTAAAGGGTGACAAGTAGAAGTTCGCGAACGTGAAGAAGCTGAAAGGCGCGAACGTCGCGAGCGTGAGGAGGCCGAGAGACAGGAGCGCCTCGAGTTGAAACGAATAGAATTAGAAATCCTACAATGTTCGCAGGCGCCTAGCGTAGCTTCTGCGACAGTTCAGGTCAGCGGTTATAGAATTCGGGACCAACTGCCACCGTTCGTAGTAGGCGAGGACATGGCGAAGTGTCTCGTCAAGTTTGAACACGTCTGTTATCGAAATGCTATGGAGCGGTCTCTTCGGGCACGGAACCTGTTAGCTCTTCTTCCCGGCGAAGTGTCCGACGTGATAACGTGCTTGTCAATGAAAGCCTTCGAGAGCTATGACCAGGCTAAGGAAGTGCTCTTGAGACGTTATAAGTAGTCACCTGAGGCTTTCCGGCAAAGGTTCCGGTATGCTAAAAAGGGGAATGAGTCACACATTGACTTCGCGTTTCGTCTTAAAGCCGATTTATTTGAATGGATCAAGGACGAAGGTGTTTATGACGATCACGATAAAGTTGTAGAATGCATTACATTGGAGCAATTCTGCTGCTGCGGCGAGGAGGATGTCAAGTTTTGGCTGCAAGACAAACTTGGTGAAGTACAGCTAAACAAAGCAGCAGAGTTTGCTGAGAAGTATTATACTCGCCGAAAGTTGCATAGCAGGGCAGTGCGCGTTGAAAAGGATGAAAGGAAAGAGGGCTTTTCAAAAAACCTGATCAACGGAAGCCCGCTCCGCACCGTAATTTCAGGAAGGACCCGTCTCTTACGAAGGATACTCTAGGGGAAGGGCAAACGGAAGTAGAAAAATCGAGTGAGGTTCCTAAACAACGCACTGATACCACACGTGCGTTTGAATCACGGAAGCCGCCAATCTGCTACAACTGCAAGTAAGAAGGGCACATCGCGATAAACTGTAAGCAAAAGTTTGCTTTCGCAACAATCCGAGAATCGGAAAAGAACACGTGGTTGTTAGAGCCGTATCTCCAAGAAATTAGTGTGAATGGGAAAACGTGTCGAGCACTTCGAGACTCAGCGGCAACCATGGACGTTGTCCATCTTTCGTTGGCGTCTCCGGATGACTTTACAGGAGAATGCGTGTGGATCAGACAAGTCGACGAGGAGCAGAGTGCTTGCTTACCAATCGCTACGGTAGTCATTGAAGGCCCATTCGGTAAGCTTGGCACCGAAGCGGCTGTGTCTGCCGCGCTTCCCGATCGTTTTCCTTATCTATTTTCTAATAACTCAGAACAGCTTCTCAAAGAGCAGGGTAAATAGTTCTCCAACTTAGCATACATGGCCCTCACACGATCACAGGCGCGGAAGCTTTCGCAGGCACTTGATTTTGTTCCATGAGGTGAAACACCACCTGCAAATACTGCTCATCTGTGAGAGCTTGGCGTTGAGTTAAGGGAACTTCAGACAGAAAATTCTCCGCATGAGTCATTTGAGCAGTCACTCAAGCGACCCATCGCCGAAGCGACTGGCGCAGTCTCCGTAGGCGGAGGAGACGACATGGCGCCATTGAGTCAGAGCGAGAGGGGTGCAACGCTCTCGCCTGTAGCGGAAAGTTGGAATGAGCTGTCGAGAGTTGATCGAGAAACACTCATTCGATAGCAGTGTGAGGACCTCTCGATTAAAGCTCTAATGGAAAGCGTAAACTTGGGAAAAAAGAAAAAGAATGTTTCCTTTTTTTGAGAAAGCAGGGCTCCTGTATCGGAGCTACACAAATGCGCAAGGTTGCAAGTATGAGCAGCTCTTGGTGCCACAAAAGTATCGTCGCCAACTATTGGAACTGGCGCATAAAAACGTGTGGGCAGGGCGTTTCGCTATAAAAAAGACCAGGGCTAGAGTTTCCCTTAAATTTTAATGGCCGAAATGCTGGAAGGATATCGAAGACTTTGTACGCTCATGCGACACTTGTCAGAGAACGGGGAAATCCACGAACAAGTGGAAGGCACCCATGAAGCTTGTGCAAATCATCACAGAATCTTTTCGGCGCCTAGTAATTGATATTGTCGGGCCATTGCCAGAGTCAAGGCAAGGTTGTCGGTACATCCTGACGGTCTTTTGTGTAGCCACAAAATGTCTGGAAGCATTACCACTTAAGGAGCTCAATTCCCCTCATGTCGTGGATGCACTGCTATCTATATTTGCACGCGTCGGATTGCCTTCTGAAATCCAATGTGACAATGGTAGTGTCTTCACTGCCTTACCTCTACCTTTTTGGATAAATGCGGAATAAAAGTAGTGCACAGCTCGATCCATTACCCGCAATCTAATCCGGTAGAGCGTACGCATTCCGTTCTGAAACGGATACTGAGAGCTCTTTGCCACGAGCACAATTGCGACTGGGAAGCATGTATTCCTCCCGCTATGCTCGCTTTGAGATCAGCTCCTCATGAGAGCATTGGTTTTAGCCCTGCAGAGCTTGTGTATGGCAGGAGTTTGAGAACACCATTGCGAATGCTACGCGAGTCCTGGGAGGGATTCGAGGAGGACCCTAATGTGGTTGCGTATGTTCTAGACCTCCTTCAGAGGCTTGGAAAAACGAAAGATCCTGTGGAAAGCCACATGAAGGCTGCACAAGTGTGGTCGAAGGAGTACTACGACAAATCGGCGAAGAAGCGCACCTTTGAAGTAGGTAGTCAGGTAATGCTGCTGCGGCCGTCCAAAAAGAACAAGTTTGAGGTTGATTGGGAAGGGCCCGTCAATTTAATATTGAAGCTTTCTGATACCAATTACGAAGAAAAATTAGGAAGGCGGCCGAGCAAAATTTACCACAGTCACTTGATTACACCGTACATTCTATGTCAAGCAGTCGTAAATCTGCTTTGGAATGCTTCCGAGGAAGAGGGAGCAGAAATTTTGACCTCTAGTGATGTAATCGAAAGGGGATCGGAGGTAATCTTGACGCAGTTGAACCTAGAGCCTAGGTTAAGTGAAGTCCAGAAAGAGGGCCTGAAAAAGATTGTTTCCGAGTTTGAAGCTGAGTTTTCGGACCGTTCTGGAAACACGACTGTGATTGAACACGATATCGAGCTAACTTGTGAGGAGCCAATCCGTAGCAAGCAGTATCGATGTTCCCCTGTGCAAAAGAAGATCATCAAAGAGAAGATCGATAAAATGCTGGAGTTGGGAGTCATAGTACCGGGCGAGGGTGACTATACATTACCTCTAACATTGGTTCAAGTGCCGGGAAAAGATCCGAGGCCATGCATCGATTATCGGCGTATTAACGTCATAACTCGAGACCAAACTTACCCGATACGAAACCTAGAGGAGAGAGTAGAAACTGTGCCACAGTCTAGCTATATTTACAGGTTAGACCTCGTGCGAGGGTATTGGCAAGTCCCCCTTCACGGAGCGCACTAGCCGCTATGCCACACTCGTTTCACCATTAGGAACGTATCGTCCACTTAAGCTGA